TTATTATAGTTAACTTAAATTATACTTTCTTACTAGTATCTTTTACTTTATAAGATAGTTATATATTAGTCTATTAAATAGATTAGTATTATTAAACCTTTAGTTATATCTATAACTCTTTTCTATTATAAATCGCTAGGTAACTCTTATGGCGCTAGTTCTAGTTCTACTCGCTCTAACCTAGATCGAGCTAGAGAAGTATTAGCACTTAAGACCCCGTGTAATAGAAAGTATATAACTATAAAACTAAAAGATTAATTTAAAGTATATTAAAGGCTAGAAGCGTTATTACGTACAAACTATAATTTTATACTATAGATAAGCTTAAGATTTATATTAAGTATATTATAGAAATATTAGTACTAGGTGTAAATAGAATCGATTTAGAGATTGCCTATAGCATCGAATGGCTTTTGGTCGAAAAGGCAAAGAGATACACAAACTCCCATATCCAGCTAGTCTTATTGTAAGTAGTTGACTATGTAGGAAGTATTGTGTATTCTTATGTGTATCATGGTAGGAGCAAGTTTAAATACAGCGTTATTAGTCAGTGGCAACCACGTGACTGTACATGGTACTTCTAGGCTTACACTTCTTACTATGGTTATCTTGGCAAATGTCATACTCGGGTGAGTTGATTCCTGTACATAAAATCTGATCGGACAACAAGCATTACCCCTCACGTGATCTTTTCGTTTAATCTGTCAGGGGTGATCACGCTTTGGGCTGCCCAAAAGGGCTCTAGGGATACCCCCTACAACAAAACCAATCGTAATATGCAGCTAAAGCTGCAATAAGCTCAGAGGCTGGTACCGGCGATACGTCTAATAGCAACATCTGGTCCGCTAGCTTATCCAACACGTTAACCTTGCCATGATTCAGCGAGATTCAGCATAGTTCAATAAACTGGCATCTGCAATACGATGTGAATGAATGAAAAGATCACGGAGGGTTATATTCCGCAGCCTGGCAGCCGCTTATGGAAATGTTCTGAGTCCGTGATTTTGCCGAGATGGCATGTCTTCCTATTGGCGTACAAAATTTCCGAACCTCGGAGTGTCTGGCGCCGAGAATGACGTTCACTACTTAATTCGAAGTGGTGTATAACGTCCGTTACTGTGTAGCGAAAAACCCTATATGCCGAAAATGATCAACCGGATTCTAAGCATTATTGGCTTCGGTCTAGCCGTTGTGATCTGGTTGGTCATTTTCGGCACACAGGGGTTTTCGGCGTGCAGTGACAGACGTCAGGTGGTATTTGTAGCAGTTACTTCTTCTTCCGATCAAGCTGCAGGCCCCTGTGGAAGTGGCGGTCAAGAGGCCTTTAACAAGCGAACTAGATATTCCAAGGTGCGAAGACGCTGTATAAAGTCGTTCGACCGTGAATCATTACTACAGGAAACAAGTGATTTTAGTAGACCTAGATTCGTTTTGAACATTTTGCCCAGGATGCATTCACACTGCGTCCTTCGTGCGGCCATTCTTGGTATTGCCGCTATCACCTCTGCCGCGTACGTTTCCGATGCTCAGCTCGATGAGCTAGAACGATACTGGTCATATGGCAGGTCTGAGCCTTTTTATCCTTCTCCAATCGGGAATGGCACTCATGCATGGGCCGCTGCATACGGCAAGGCAAGATCGCTTTTGGATCAGATGACCAACGAGGAGAAGAACAACATCACCTACGGATTTACGGCCGTGAACACTTCTTGTGGAGGAACAAGTGGCTCGGTACCTCGTGTAGGCTTCCCAGGACTATGTCTACAAGACGCCGAAAATGGCGTGAGAGGTACTGATATGGTCAACGGATATCCATCCGGACTCCATGTTGGAGCCTCCTGGAACCGCAACTTGGCCTATGACCGCGGCTTCTACATCGGGGCGGAATTTAAAGCCAAAGGTGTCAGTGTGGCATTGGGCCCAGTGGCTGGGCCGCTTGGCAAATGGCCTCGAGGCGGTCGTAACTGGGAGGGCTTCAGCAACGATCCATACCTTGCCGGAGCTCTGACTTATGAGACCACGCTTGCGATGCAAAAGAGCGTCATGACTTGTATCAAGCATTTGCTGGGGAACGAGCAGGAGACTAACCGCATGAAGTCACGGTTCGGCGATAACCCCCAAAATGCGTCAGTCTCATCGAACATTGACGACAAAACGGTGCACGAACTTTACTTGTGGCCCTTCCAGGATGCGGTAAAAGCTGGCGCCATTTCCGCAATGTGCAGCTACCAGCGCTTCAACAACAGCTATAGTTGCCAGAACAGCTACTTGATGAACAAGCTGTTGAAAGATGAACTTGGTTTTCAGGGCTTCGTGGTGTCCGACTGGGTTGCCCAGCACACTGGTGTAGCTAGTGCTGAGGCAGGCTTAGACATGGCAATGCCCAACAGTCCTTACTGGGCTGGTAACTTGAGTGTGGCAGTGGCAAATGGATCTCTTAGCCAAGTGCGTCTCGATGACATGGCCACCCGCATTCTCGCGTCATGGTACAGGCTAGAAGAGATGAAAAACGACGCCTTCAGTAACCCGGGATTTGGTCTGCCCTATGATCATTCGAAACCACATCATCCAGTTAATGCCCGTGATCCAGCTTCTAAAGGCACTATCTTCCAAGGTGCTGTTGAGGGTCACGTTTTGGTCAAGAACGAGGGCAATACTCTACCACTCAAATCCCCCAAATTCCTCTCTCTGTTCGGTTACGATGCTACAGCAGCTCATATCAACACGTTCCAAACAAGAGATTACCAATCCTGGGCGCTGGGATTGGAGAATGCCCTAGTATTTCCTAATGGTACCGATTGGACAGTTGACGCTATGCATTGGGTCGAGACTTCGAGTTGGCAATCCGGGGCCCATGGACCAGGTATCGGGATGAATGGAACCTTGATAACCGGTGGCGGCTCCGGAGCGACAACTCCTGCCTACATTGACGACCCATTCACTGCTTTCCAGCGACAGGCGTACGAAGACGATACATTTCTCGCCTGGGACTTTCATAATAACACACCCGTTGTCAATCAGGGCTCGGAGCACTGTATTGTTTTCGTGAATGAGCTGGCGGGCGAGGGCTGGGACAGGCCCGCTCTCGCTGACAGCTACTCTGATAGTCTCATCAACTCAGTAGCCAGCCAGTGTAACTCTACCATCGTCATCATTCACAACGCTGGGGTCCGGACTGTTACCGAATGGATCGACAACCCCAATATCACCGCCGTTATCTATGGCCATCTTCCAGGTCAAGATACGGGACGCGCTATAGTAGAAATTATGTATGGTCGTCAGTCGCCATCAGGAAGACTACCCTACACAGTAGCTAAGCGCGATGTCGATTACGGACAGCTTCTCAATCCCGTGGTTGCTACGGGTCTCGATCTTTACACACAAGGTGAGTTGTGGCACTCTTAATGGTGGAAAACGTATGTAATGTGACGTCTTGCAGATAACTTTACTGAGGGCGTAAATATCGACTATAAGCATTTCATTGCTCACAACATCACGCCCCGATACGAGTTCGGCTTCGGCCTCAGTTATACGACTTTTGAGTATCGCAATCTCTCGCTTAGAAGAACAAATGCCAGTTATCAGCTAGAAGCACCGCGTGGTCCAGACGGCGAAGCTATACCTGAAGCAGGCTTGCTCTCATTGTGGAATGTTCTCCTTGAAGTGTCGCACGATGTCCAAAATACTGGACAAGCAGACAGTGCAGAGGTCTCGCAGCTCTACATTGGTATACCAGGAGGACCTTTGAAACAGTTGCGCGGTTTTGACAAGAAATACTTGCATACTGATGAGACTAAAGCCTTCATGTTCAGTTTAACGAGGCGAGATCTTAGTGTTTGGACACCGGATGGATGGGTTCTCCCCCGCGGCTGCTATTATATCTACGTTGGAAAGAGTGTACTAGATATCAGGCTTACTAGTACTTTTACTATCTAGAATTGCACAGCTTAGTTATATAAGCGTTGTAGTTTAGCGCCTGGTTGCGGCTCAATTCAATGCAGTGGAGAGTCGTGTGAGATGGGAACTGGTTGAAGCTGGCTTGGCCATTGGCAATAAAAACAAGTCATTAACATAGCTGCTTTTCAATATTTGAGACAAGGAATTAGGCTGAAATAAGAAGGATTAAGGTGACTACGACTATAAATGGATATGGAGACGAGGCTCTTAGATATTTACGCGAGACCAACTGCTGCTCGGTCCTAAGGTATATCCGCCTCGTTACTGTTACAGTAATCATGTATGCAGACCTACGACTAAAATAACGTGTTTTACAAGCGCGCGGGCCACCTTACTTACCAACTTTACGCAGCTCTATAAGTGTGTAGCTCCACCACATTATGTGAGTTTTGATAGATATTGACATAACTATTATCTAAATGAATAGTCACATGGCTGCTGAGATTTGTTCCCCGCCGAAGTACCGCAAATGGCAGCTCTTGCGCTGCGCAATCTAATTTCATCTTGATACCACGTGTAATTTTCATGTCTAAAACCAGAATCACGTTTCGCATACACTAAATTACCTCTAGTCTAGGTCTGAGAGTTTCTAAAGCAATAGGAACGAGTCAAATCGAGTTAAAGTTGGCGATTTCTTCTAACATATCACGGACTTTAATAACGTAGTAGTATGTGGCAAGCGAGCGGCGCACCACAGCAACTTTACTCACCTCTTCAACTTCGACGCATCATAGCTCAACGTAGCGCTCCTCTATTATGTTACACGGGGTCTGGAGTGCTAATACTTCTCTGGCTCGATCCGGGTTAGGGCGAGTAGGATTGGGGTTAG